TTGTTTCTAGAGAAGGATGGAGAAAGGGGCTGATCCTGTCACTATGATCACCCACTCATATGAATTCTCGGACTGTCCCAACATGCCCAAGTTTTGACCCCCTCTAAAGATCTCACTGATTGGCATATCAAAGACAGCCCAATCCGACACCTAGTGCAGTATCATAATTGAGTCTAGGGGTCAGGTGTAACATTCCAGTTTTGCCCATCTATCTCCAAGGTCCAGGGCAATACTAGAATTTTGGTCCGGTTCAGGGTTTCAAGAAAAACCCACACTGCATGTACCTCAGGTCTCACCCTGACAGCTGAGACATGCCACCCCAACCAACTTGGCGGTACATCAGTGAGCCTTGACAGGATAAATCTCCCTAGATCTATCCAACGACTGTGAAGATTCTAAACTAACACGAGTCTCATATGTGTCCAGTTTAAGGGTATTACACAGAAACATACCATAATAACATGAATCAAATATGTACTTTATTCATTTACAATAAATGTCATAATGTACATCATGTTGATTGGAGCTAAGGGCATACACTGTCTAACACTGGATGCAGCTTCCAACAAGTGTATTTAGTATGTTTAGGCTTCTTGCAATATTCATAAACATTTTCTTCCCAATGTTGGCCTTGGCTTCATCCCGACATTAGCATAATGATCCATTTGTGGCTCTACAGACTGAACATGTCTCCTGCTCTCCTCACTATTCACCATAGCATAAGCTTGAGATAAGTTCACCTCATCCTTCGCCAAAATATTCTGTCTCATAATATCATACTCCGAGTTGAGTCTGATAAGAAACTCAAAAACTCGACTTCTTTCCACCAACTTCCTATGTATTTCAACATCCTTTGTACACCTCCAAACCACAGTTTCCATCAAATCAATCTCCTGCCAAAGAGATTTTAGCATGGAGAAGTAAACGGCTAAGGGTTTCTTTCCTTGTCTCAGATTATTCACATCATTCTTCAATTTGTAAGCCCGGGCAACATTTAATTTTTGGGAATAGGTCTCTGTGACACTATCCCACACCTCCTTTGCAGTTTTCATCCACAACTAGAGCTGGCTAATATGTAGCTGCATAGAATTCACTAACCAACCCACTATTATGTAATTCTCCGACATCCACCTCTCATAGGAGGGTCATCCTCCCTCGATTTCTTCTTGCTCCCATGTATCTTAATAGACTAAGACCAGGCTAAATAATTGGTGCCATCCAGCTTCATAGTGGTCACTGCCCCAAAAGGATTCTCCATTGACCCCCCATGTCCAAACTCGGAATCAAGAGGGTGAAACGAAGATCAAAATAAGTCTCAACTAAGCTAGAATTTCCATGCCAAGCAAAAAACTACTCTTCAAACATCCAAATCTAGAGTTTTATAGGATCCGCTCAAATGGGAGAAGAGGAAAAAGTTCAACTACTCCTACCAGAGGTTCCAAAACCCTTTCCAACTCAATTCACCCTTATTGAAAACCAAAGGGCTACCCTTTGATCCCCAAGTGCCAGCTTCAAAGTGTCTCTAGGACCCGTAACTAGTTTTCTCCAGTTCTTTAGGGTTTTTGGGAAAGAACTCCAAGAACCTGTTTTTGGGAAAAAACTCCAAGAACCTGCCTTGGGCTTCAACTGGAGATGAAAAACTCTTCACTAAACCTCTCCAAAAAACCCTCCCAACTGGGCTACCTAAGCTACTCCCTAATCATCCGATTAATTCTCCATACACATTGTGTATGGGCAAAGAAAGAAGAAAGAAAAGGTGAGAACCTGCTTTGATACCAAGTTGTAATTCACACCTGTAATAATTTGAATTAAAAGAAAAGAAACAATAGAAAGGAAGGAGATTGAAGAGAGAGAAGTGATGAAGGAAGAAGAGGAGAGAGTAGTTCAAAACCTCTCATCAGCCCCCAATAATTTCTTGTATTCTTTTGTTGTAAAAAATAAGGACAATTACATGAGTGCCCTTAGTAGGGCGTCCATCACTAAAGATAGCAATAAAAAACAATAAAAAAAGAGAAAAAAGGCCCATTACCTACTAACACAAGTTATAAACATAACTTAAAGAAAAACAATGAAACTAAGGTCCATTATCTCTACACGGGTCAGCTATGGTTTTAAAACCATGGAATTTTCAGCTGAATGTCCTCAAAGAGGCCTTTGAACTTCTTGATTTTATTTTTGAAGAACGAAGGAGTCCTTTCGTTTTGTTTCGGCTAGCTTATAACTACCTAGGTCCTAATGCATTTGGTAAACATAATTGCTACATGAAAGTCTCAAGCACCTATTGTAAAACTTAAATTAATGGAATGGTGGAAACTTAGAGTGGTCCATTATCTGCTTCCCTTTAGTGTTGGAGGGGATAGTGTCCTCTCAAAGAGCAAATCTCAAGAAGAGAAGACAGTGAGAGAGAATAGAGAAGAGATTAAGGGAGAAAATGATAGATATGGAAGTATAAGGGACAAAATGATAGATATAGAGGTATAAGGGACAAAATGAAAGAGGTGCTTGTTAGCTCGATTAAAGGAAGAATGTCACTTTGAACTCTGCGCAGGGGATTGCTTTTGTATTAGTCCCTTTTGTGCACTATTTTTGTAATTTATAGCTTTTGTATTAGCTTCATCTGGCCTGGTAATTGTACCATTCAAATGACCTTCTAGACCCTTTCCCTCAACAAAGAAATCAAAATGAAACTTCCACATACTGTAGTTAGTTCCATTGAACTCCACAGGTATCACATCAACCTTATCAGCCATCTAGGTTAACAGTTTTCAGTCTAAAATGATAACAGAAATGAGTCCGAGGCTGAGGAGGAGAAACAAGAAGCAGTTCTTCACGTAAAACTAATTAGAAAGTCTTCTAAACACCAGAACAAGTATCCAATAGCCAAATAAAATGTGGTTCTCGAAAATAATAATCCAAACAACTAGGTTTTAGGACTAATAATCCAACAAAATGGAAGGTTGCAGACCTGCTGCACTAAAGAAGGGATCAAAACCCTTCTAGAACACAGTAAATCTTCAAACCAATCAGTGGAACACCTAAAGTAGGTCAGGGAAACACAAACTTTAGAGTACAAGGCTGAACACAACAGCCAAATGGAAGAAATCACAAAAAAACACTCACCTGGTATGCGTTCTTTTTTTCAGAAAAAGTGACCCCTCTTGTTCAGACCAGAACTTCCTCATCAAAAATTCAATCTTCACAAGATTTTACAGGTATAACAAAGAGGTTAGGGCGACCCAAGATGCAAAATCCGAGCCCCAACAGATAGCCAATCAAGAGAGAGTGAGAGAGAGAGAGAGAGAGAGAGAGCAAGAACACAGATTCCTAGGATGTTTTTCCCAAAAAACGCAGTTCACCTTGTACTGATCGAAACAGTCACAAAGACAAACCTTAGCAGCTTCAACAGGTCGATTTGAACACCCTAGCCACAGTCTTAACAACCAAGAATGAAAGCTTGGCTCTGATACCATGTCAACTAGAGAGTTCAAACAAGAGGAAGACGAACAGTTTCAAGGTGTCAATAGAACAGTCCACCCCCACCCTAAAGAGCACCTATTAGATTAAGAAAATATGTACAAATACAAAAATTTCCATAAAGGGCTGAAAGGTAAAAAGAACAAATACAGAGGCTACAAACTACAAAAATAGTGTACAAAAGGGATTATGATGAAATTATACATCATTCTTAGATTCTCCACATGTGATACGGTCCAAAACTCTGACAATAGCATGGATGCTCCTATTTGCTGTGTTCGAAATAAGAGTGAATCCGTTGAGGACTTCGAAGCTGTGATTCTAAAGGAGATAGCTAGTATGTCATCTATGGGATCTAATTCTTCTGTGAAAGAAGTTTCGAATGGCACTAATGAGATTCACAGAGAAGTTGAGACTGGGTTGAAGGAGAGGGAGAAGGACTCGAGAGGGTTCATTGCTGACGAATTAGGAGGTGATCATGGTTCTGGTGATGGAGGAAGCGGAAATTTTGGCGAGAACCATTGTGCCCTGCCCCACACCAAGGGAGTTGTTGCTGATCATTGTTACTTCAAGGAGATGGTGATTGGAAGGATAGATGTGGATTTGGGTAGGAGGGGAGAGGCTAGAAAGATTTAGATGTGGTTGAATCAGTGACCTCCAAACAATCTCATGGAGCTTTTGGAGTAAGATATTCTCATGCTGTTCATGTCACCAAAGTCTTTTCTCATTTGAAATGTGGATTGGTCGGTACTGGTCTACAAAGAACTACCAAGAGAGTGTATAAGAGAAGGGGCAGTGAGACAACTAAGTTGAAAAATGAAGCTACTGATGATTAGGATTCTCTAGCTACAATTGGGGACTCGTCAGAAGGAAGAAGCAATAGATAACGAATCTGTTTCTATTGCAAGTGACTGTGATAGAATCCTTGAGAGGAAGGTGGAGAAAACCAGAAGTATCTCTATTGAGGAAGTGGCTAAGAAAGACATAGAGATTGTCAAAAGCCTGGGCTTGTTCTTCTGGGGTGGCGAGGAGTTCACCGGGAAAGTCTTTGAAGAGTTTGAGAGGAGAAAGAGGGAAGAAATCTTGAAGAAAGGGGTAAATGGAGGTGGGGGTGGGATGATGATGATGATGGTTAGGAGGTTTTTGAAGAGAAGATTAGGGTCGTATTTCCGCTAGGCTCATTTTGATCGCGTTGCGGTCGATCAATTGTGAAGTTGTCTGAGGATATGTTCCTAGAGGAGTTAGTTTCTTTATTTTAATAGTCTTCTAGTTGGTTGATGTTTTGTGAAAGATGTGTCTTAGTTAGCCATCTTCTCTCTTGGGTGATATCTTATCACCTTCCTTCTGTATTCTCTTTTATTTTTAATGAATTTTTTATTGTACTTTTCAAAAAATAAAAAGGCTCCTAAAAGCATAAGGAATCATATGATGCATAAATGAAAACTAATGGCAATATACTTTGCACCGGCTGAAGCTTAAGTTGCTAGCTTGTGATATCTTGCTCAAAAAGAAATGGTAGTCCTTACATCTTGAACCCAATGGATCCCTTTAGCAATAATGTCATCTCTCTGAAGCCAATAGATTTGCCTAATGACCAAGTCATCAATAGCATCTTCCATCATCAACTGTAAAATCTGCTTTGAAAACCAGAAGACCTGTCTACTGAATAAAGTAGGATATAGATGTACAAGGTTAATCAGTTAAACTATGTAAAAAGAATATCAGAAAATTGTATGCCATTCAAGGCTTAGTGAAAGTTATATCAGTTAACATTTTCCAAAGGAGAAAAGAAAGGAGTAGCAACCTTTAAGAAAGAAAATTCCAAAATACTACAGAATTCCCAATGACATAAAGTTGTATATCTAACCATTCACAGATAAAGTCAGTACTTAAGAAATGAAAGACAGATATGTAAGGATGATCAGGGAAATTCTACAAATCCAATGCTGCTCAAGTATTGATTTTTCAGAACATTAGAACCACGTTAACTTGAGAATTTACTAAGAAACTTTAACAGATAAACCAAAATGTTACAAGGATTCAAGGGGGTCAGTAAAGCTCCGGAAAATCAACTGGAATTCGAGCAACAATAAAGACATGTACGAAAAAAATGGCAAGGAAAAGAAAAGGATAACATCTTTTGTGTTGGAGAACCCACCCTAATCATGGTTCATGTGAATTATCACATTGAAAAAATAAAGAAAAAAAGAATGAGTATCAAATGTTGAAAACTCTGGATATGTCCATCCAAAGCATTGTTACTTTAAACCATAATATTAAAGGGTCTCTCTCAATTAGCACGTGGTATTGTTACACCAACAATCTCTACTCTTTTTAGCAAACGAACAATTTCAGTGAAATCTTTCAATTTCTTATATTACTATGTTGAACTCTTTGTGTTCCTCTATCCATAAAGTACACTGAATACATAGAAATGGCTACAACAGAATTTCTGTTATTCATATTATTGTGATATTAACAGCTACTCTAGGAGGAATGTTTTTATGTGGTGCTAACAATTTATATGTTTGTAGCTTTAAAATGTTTTAATTTATAATCCTACATATTGTTTGGATATACCGAGAGAATGGTAATGATGCTACTATAAAATATTTACTCATACGTGGGGCAAGTTCTTTTCTAGTTGATGGTTTCTCTTGGCTATATAGGGTTTTTCGAGGGAGATGGCTTGAACCTAGTTTACAGCTCAAGCAAGCATTGAAAGTATAATATAAGCCCAAGGCAATCTTTAAATGAGATCAGATGACCTTCCATAGGTTTTCTTTTATTTCTTTCTAGTTTTCATCTCTGTTTGTTTTTTTGTTGGGGGGAACCTTTGAAATAACAATTCCTTTTAGACCTTGAGCCATTTCTTTGCTAGTTGCTATCTTATCAGCATCACAACATCCCTGGGCATCATATATATAAAACTCTTTTTCTTCTTCTTGGTGGAGTATGGGACCTTTGGACGGCATCGAGCCTGGGGCCTTTGGATGGGCCCATTCAAATTTTAGCAAATTCCAAACCCAAGTCCACTCAAGTTGCAGCCCTAGAAAATATAAAGCCACAAATTCCACTTTCTGACACAGCCCCTTGGTATGATTTTCTGGGTACTGATTTTCAACAACAATTAAGGGAAAAAAAACTAATTATTGAAATGAGGTAGGTCTATACCAGCTCACCTTAGCCAACCTCTTGTCTCAAGCTGGAATATCTTAGCAACTAAATTCAATAATGGCAAACTAACATTAGGTGGTGCCCACTGCAAGAAGTCAGAGTATAAACGTGTCAAAAGAGGATCACATATAACCCCCAAACTAAGATGCTTTAAGGAAAATGAATAAATAAACCAAAAAAGCATATTTTTGAGCCACATGTACTGATAAAAATTAGGACTTTTATAAGCCAACAATTATATAAACCAGCTTTCTACCTAATTCTGCCTTCTTAAGACTGGTAAAATCTTGGACTGACATGAGTGAGAACATTGGCTGGAGTCTGAGAGAAGCCTTAAAAGAAAAATAATATTGCCAGGGGTGTCAGTATCCAATCTACCCCTCCCAGTTTGTCAGGACCATTATTGTGTAAACGCCCTATGTAATTGAACAATAAGACAATAATAAACCTGTAGAAAATAAACCCCGCATGTTCCACACATGCCCAAAGACCACTTAGTACTGTCATGTCTTCCTTATGCTCAAATTTGCCATTCAAATTCTATACCATGCTAGACATAATGTAAAGATCATATTAGAAACAAGCTACTAGAAAACAAAAAAATTAAAAAATTAAGAAAAAAACATTTGAATAGAAAATACTAGATGTTTGCATGGAAACTAACCCAGATCTTTTGTTCTAACCAAAAAGAGCCGGCTATAAATAATTAACTTCCATGTTTGTGAGTCCAACAATGCTATAGTTTTATCATGAAACCAATGAAGCCAAGTAAAATTGATATGATATAACTTAAAACTAGGTAAAATGATACTTATGTAATGCACAAAACTACACATATCATGTTGTATATATGCCTAGGCATATGGAAGAAGGAAAGCCAAATCCTATCCTTTGAAGAAGTAGAGATAGTGAGAAGATATAGCCGCAGGGCTATTTTTGTACTTTTTCTTTTGTTGTACACATATTTTATGTACTCTTTATTTTGTATACTAAGGGCAGATTTGTCCTTTATTTTCTTTAATATTGTTAAAGTGTGCCGAATAGGGGTAGTTTAGTCTTCTTATGCTTGTTAAGTAGCTTGCTTATGTGGCAGTGTTATTAGAGTCAGTCTGCCCCACACTTAAGTAAGGGCATTTTTTGTCTTTGTAAAGATCATTAGAATCTAATGAAGATTAAGGGGGTCGACTGTAGGGGTAATCCAATAGATTTCGACAGACCCTTATTTTCTTTCTTCTTCTCTTCTTCTTCCTCTTCTCCTTCCTTCTCTTCCTGGTTCGGACTACTGTAGCAGCATTCGAAACATGGTATCAGAGCCATGCTCCTGACCTACTTCAGTTGGTAAAGCACCTCAGCAGTGTTCGTGACTCTCCTCCTTCGTTTCTAGTCAGTCTATGGAGAGAACTGGTTCGCCCTAGGTCTGAAACATCACAGGTCGTC